AGCGCACGCAGGCTTTCACATGAAAACAGTCAGTCACACAGCGTTAAAAAGAAACAGAAAATGGCAAGAAGCTGTTGTATTATTAACTGCAGTAGCTGGTCGCATGACAGCCACGGGAAGCCTATGGGTAAAGAGATCGGTTGTTATCGGATTACGTCGTGGAGGAGAAATTGTTTAAGCCGTGTTTCCAAAGTAACAAAGAGCCGACGGATGGCCTGGATTGCAGCCATTCCAAGACCAAATATAATGTTCCAGAACACTCCAGCTTACATGTTAGTCTGCTCCAAGCATTTCCACTAGTGATGTGCGGATCGATCCTGAAATATCGATTCCTCCGATACCAATCATTTATGTTCTAGAATCGATTCTCACATTAAAATATCGATATTTTAGTAATTTAGAGTAAATTTGTAGTTTATCATTAACAGGAACACAGTGGAAAGAAACTATAACATTCGGATTATCTACATTCAAAGGAACTACTTCCTCTTCCGCCTTTCATAGTCATGTGCGAAATACAGCGGCATAAATGTCTCGCAGCCCCTTGGCGTGCGCACTCACAATTGCTGATTGTAATTGTGCGGACGTATTTTACCTTCACAAACAGCTGAGACGTGGTTTGCCATACATGCGGCAAAAAAGTGCTCCAAGAGTGAGGTGTTGTGGCCGTACTAGGGAGACATTCAAAAGAGCTGTTGGGGGGTGATAAATACATTTTACAGGGTTTATTTATCGGATAAAATACGTTAAATGTCACCGTTATTATTGGCCGGCCCGGAAACAGCTGGGGTGTCCAAATTCAGAGGCTGCTTCCACCTGAGGACCCGGCCTTCGTGGTCTAAAGAAAGCCGGGTAGCGATCGTGGCTCAAGAGTTGGGAGTTCGCCTTGTAATCGGAAGGTTGCCGGTTCGAGCCCCGGCTCGGACAGTCTCGGTCGTTGTGTCCTTGGGCAAGACACTTCACCTACCGCCTACTGGTGTTGGCCAGAGGCATAGCGATGGCGCGATATGGCAGCCTCGCTTCTGTCAGTCTGCCCCAGGGCAGCTGTGGCTACAACTGTAGCTTGCCTCCACCAGTGTGTGAATGGGTGGATGACTGGGTGTGTAAAGCGCTTTGGGGTCCCTAGGGGGGACTAGTAAAAGCGCTATACAAATACAGGCCATTTACCATAGTACGTCATGAGCTCCCTCGGTGGAGTGAAATGCTGCCGTCTGCTCCTTGCTATCTAAAATATAACCAGGCACTGACGTAAACTCTTCTGTTTAATCATTTTCTGTTTGACGTTTATTCAGCTGTGTGAAAACCCCGGAGGAACCCTCCCGAGGGATTAAGTTAAATTTAATTTAATTTAATCTAATCTAATCTAATAACTTTAATCTCAGCCAAACCGATTTACTCACGAACAAATAAAACACTGAAAAAGCCAAACAATAACATTTTTAAGTTATCAAAGTGACTTATATATCATGTTTAACCCGAGTAGCGAAAGACCGCGGGGGTTTGAAAACGATGTGTCGGTCGGCTCAGATATTTGAAGTTTACACAGCTACATTCTCACCTGAAAATATGTTAAAAGTTTTTTTGTGTTTTTAAATTGTTTTTTTTATTACGTTGATTAAAAAAAAAAAAAAAAAAAAAAAAAAAAAAAAAATATGTTAAAAGTTTTTTTGCGACCCAGAAAGAGAAATAAGAGTAATATTAAAACTAAGTAGCTGCCGCCATTGTTGGAAACTGGAATTGGCTGGGCCGCGCTATGAATTCTGCGATATGGTTTTTCAATTTTGTTGTCCGGGTGGAAAATCGGGAAAAATTTGGGAGAATGGTGGCTCCAGGAGATTTTCGGGAGGGGCAATGAAATTCGGTATTCTCCCGGAAAAATTGGGAGGGTTGGCATGTATGGTTGTGGCAACATCACTAACCTTGTGAAACACCTCAGAGTAAATCATATCACAGAATATGACGAGCGTATGTTGAGGTGAACTGAAGAGGAGGACAGGGACAGGTGCTGCTAGGGCGAGACAGATGTCTCTCACGGAGTCCTTTATTCCTGCTGGCAGGCAAGGTGTTCAAATAGCGCACAACTTCAGGTTTTTTATTTCTATATGATGAACTCTGCATTATTAAGTGATAAGAACAAGTAATCTGATGTCCTGTAATCATTATGATGCTATAATTTGAGATACAATAAATAAAATAAGTTTTTGTACAAAGTATCGGTATCGGATTAGTATCGTCGATACCACCCTGAATATTACTTGGTATCGGATCGGAAAGGAAATAAGTGGTATCGCACATCACTAATTTCCACCCTATGCTGCGTTCACTGTGGCTTTGCGGGATAATGTTTGTTGTGTTTTGTAGGAAAACCAACCACCCTACAAAATGCTGGAATGCGATCCAGACTGGGCACCCTCTATCAACCTGGGTCATACCGAGTGTAAAGCTGCTACCACAGCGATATTTGATCGGTTAAGAGAGAGAGCGATATCAAAACAAAAAAAAAGTATGCAAAAAATATGGAAAAGTCCTGCATATATGTGCCCAGGTGTTGTATTGAAGCAATCAAGTGATGAATAACTGTTTTCCAGTATGTTGTTTTGCAATGGTTTTTTTTGCATTGTTGATTTGTTATTTTACCGAAGCAGCTAATAAAGCACAATGGAATACAATTTTGCCTCTTTCTTGTAAGATTCTATAATAGAAAGAAACAATAATGCCAGTTATAAATAAAGACAATAAATTGAATGAATTACGACACACTAAAAATTTTTTCTATTAGATCTGAAAACGTTGTGTAATACTACAACCTGAAACAATAAATAGATTGCGTTGGCCTGTACATGAGATAAAGGGAAAGAAATTAACAACACCTGTGAAATGGAATAGTCCAAATCACCAAAGTCAACTGGACCTGGGCTTGTTG